TCTCTCTCTCTCTCTCTCTCTCTCTCTCTCTCTCTCTATAATGATGATTAAATCTGAGGGAAATGTCTACAGTTTAAATGAATGTGAAATCAACACGTTGCTACTTTGCGTGTCTTCTGAAACATGGTCGTGGAGAAATTTTAAAATCAGCTGATACAAATAATGATCATATTGAAAGCAGCTTTTAATCTGTAGGCAGTGCATTTTATCCAATCGACTTCTCATATGCACTGCTGGAAGACGGAAAATGTCATTACGTTGAAGTAGAAGTGAGTGGTTGAAGTTTAATTTTATCCTTAATGGATTATTTCTTTGAGAAATTTATTTCAATCATCAGGAAAGAGTTAACTAATTCTATTTAAATTCTCTTCTAGGTAAACTTTAATTATACAAATTCACGGTCTTGCCGAGAAGCAGCAATGTTTGAAACAAACTACATGCCACTGAAAATTTTTGCATGTCGTTGTCGCACGGAAGTTAGCTCTAAAACACCATGTGATGAAAAACTTGCAGTAAAAATACCCCGTCTAGCTAGAAGTTGGGTGAGCGGCTTTTTTCTACGATAAAAAAAAAAGCTTTTATTTAATAAAAACGTTCACAAATATGAAATATTTAGTACAATGATATTATTAACGTAAAATACATCAAGAAATTTGCCACTGCATCTATAAAGCATTGTACATTGATTCAGCTAAATAGGTAATGTTGTACTTTGAAACACTTGTCATTAGCGGCGGTATCGACTAATATTAAGACACGATAAAATGAGGAAAGTTAATTGAGTTTCCTAAAACAATGAATCTTTCCTTGCGGAAAACAGAACTATATAACTTATTAATAGCATTTAAAGAAATATTTGTAAACTATGATGACTGGATCTTAACAGTTCAACTAGCTTTTACCTCTCCAAAAATTAAATTAAAAATTTTAGCCCTTAATGAATTTAACGCAATGTATGCGGTATAATCAACAAAGACTTCAGTATGTAACACATGGAGTGGAGAGAGTGTTTCTCACATATACATCCTATTGCTACACCGAAATGACTTTAAAAATGAATGAAAACGGTATCTGTAATTTGCTTGATCGGTGCTTTTATTATTATTAAGAATATCTGACAAGGTTAGGCCGATACACTGATATTGGTATAATGTTTAGATGATTTGCAGAATGATAATGAAACTTTTACGGTACATTCTCATCTTACCTTAACGAAATTATAATTCTAGTGAATTGTTTAAAGTTAAAGAGATTTGAACGTGTAATGTATCTCATATATCCCACGTTGATATAAAAATGTCATAAGTTTAATGGAAAAATAAATTTTTCCAGAAGTAAAATTTGATGTGTCAGGTGGTGCGGTGACTCATACAATAGCTAATAACGCTGGAAAACATCTGGATCATATCGCATACGCCATGTGGCTTGAGTAAATTAATGTTTGCTTGGGGTGTACATTAACTTATCCACCTCGATTATATATGTATATCGTAGGTCAGTGCGTAAGCACCAGACACTTTGTCTGAGATACGATCTGTTATGGAATTTACTTATGGAATCGGGCCTGATTTGTGTGTGGATTTGCTCGGAATGAACTTGTGCTTGCACATCAATGATCCATTTTCCCACACAAATATTCTATTCTTCATCCTTTTTCTTTGTAAATCGAGAACCTTTTGCTCTGATTGAAAAATTAGGATTGAAATCTAAACTTCATACGAAACTTGACACTTAAGGACAGGATCACTATCATCGCTTTGCACTTCAATCCGGAAAGGGCAAGCATATTGTTTCTGCCGTTCGTACAATAATCATGGCGATGCATGTAATGAATATGTGTGGGAAAGAGTGAAATTACAGAAAATTCTAATCAAACAAGAACTCGATTTTAAGGTATTCGAAAAAGTATCTTTTAAAAGTTAAAACATCGGAAAAAGTATATCATAATCTGCTTGAAGTGGAAACGGAATTTTCTTTAATTGTTAACAATCAGACTTCTTTTTTACTCGGAAAGCTACTTTGATGGAATGATGCATCTTTTATTAAACTTAATTTTCAGTTACTGCCTTTGTTATAACTTGGATGCTTCATTTTCATTCAAGCAGAACAAGCATTCCATCAAATTCAAAGAGATGAGGAATTGCAGATCCGTAAGGAATATCCGAATACTCTGTCAGATCATTTAGTGCGGAAAGGAGAAGCATGGTGTCATTCTCCTAATGTTTATGGAACTTTGGACATTGATGGTAAGCTTAATTATCTCTTATTATATCCATTCATTTCTGAACCACTTGTTTTTTTCTTAATTCAATTTACAAAAATGTTGGTGATTATAATTATATTGTAAATTAGGGATTATTCAAATTACGGCTGCAGGTGAACTCCATCCATAGCTTTACTTCTAAAACCATTTATATGGTAAAGTACGGCACAATTTAATTTTCCGTAAAGGTTTCATTACAACCCTATGTGTATATGAATTTAATTTTTTTAATTAAATTTCGTTCTTCTGAATTAATTTTTTTTTTTGTTGATTTCTTGGAGCATTGCAATTATTGGAATACTTCCTCAAGAAGAGCTAAAATGATATGATTTCAATTCTACAATAACTTTAAGTAATGAAACTGATAACTTAGTGTAGAAGAAAACGAAGACGTTATAACGAGTGGAAAATGTGTTCACCCAAAGCAAAAAATGTGGGATGGTTAGTTTTTTTGATTTCAGCCGTAAAATTTAGTGTTTATAACATATGGGTTCCCTTTGTTTTGTTTTTCTAATTCTTCGAAAAGAATCTCTTGCATTTCTAAATGGGAAAAAAGTTCAAACAAAGTTTCACTTAATACTAAGTTAAAACTGGTTAAAACTGATTAAATTGTTCAGAACATTGAAATATTTTTCACATGATAAAAAAGAAATCAAATGACGAATCAAAAGGACAATTTGTATTTTCGATAGAACTTTGATTTAAATTTTTGAGCTAATGATAATAGAATTATCCAAAATTATGGATGAAAGTTCTAACAGAAAATGTATTCATTTGTTGAAGTATTCATTCCTCTCTTAAATATTCAAAGTATTCATTCCTTCATTTCCTTTAAAATATTCATTTCCTCTCCCATCTTGTCCAAGTAGCATATAAATTATAGCTTTTAATTTACTCACTAATATTAGAATCTAATATTACATATTTATTTATTATTTAAATTTCAAGATTCATATTCCATTACTGAGGCTAGCTACTAAGCATTCCTCAAAATACACTTCAAAAACTATAAAATCTTGCGGACTTGATTAATTCAACTTCAATATAAGATTCTAATCTGATTTAGCCCTTTTTTTTTATTTTTTTTCTTGTTCAAACTGCATAGACTTTTCTTAAATTTTCAGGTGACAGTATGTTCTGTATCGAAATAAAAGCTTTGGAAAATAAGTGTGTTGCAAGGGTCAAAGATACCGAGCATCCCCAGGGAAATCATTTATTATGCTGCTGCAGAAGTAAATGTGAAACGGTTGGATTTATTATTCAAACATTGGCGAAGGAAATCTCAGATAGTTTTGACACTTACTAATCATTCTGTAATTCATTCTATTCAATGAGACATCCATTTCAATTTTGTATTTCAAGGATTCCATACCAACTTATAATGTCAAATAAAGAATATTATCCGCAATTTCATCTTTGTAATATTGAAGAAACCTCTCTTATCAATTCAATAATCAAGTCCAGTACAAAATACGCGTGCATACTGTTGAATAAGGTTAAGCCGAAACAAAGTGCAAATAATAAGTGAATGAAAGTAGGAGAAAATTAGGGAAAAAAGTCAGGAACATCATAAGAGAATAATTCATAAGAGAATAGCAAGTTTGTGCAGAAGCTACTTGCATGTATTCATCGAACATACAGCAAAATGGTAGTTTATAATGCTCGAGTTATGCTAATTTCAATGGCTTCGTGAAAAAGGCAATCCTCCCAGAGATCCCGAAATTCCAAACGAGAGCGTTGGCACTATTTGATTTGGGCTCGCAGTTATCATTCATATCAACTAACTTAGCAGAAAGGCTGCACATTCGAGGGGTGGAAGACGAGAGATTAAGTATTGCTTCGTTCGGCAATAAATTACCGAAGAAATGCAATTCAACCAAAGCAGAGGTTGGTGTAAGAATCGGAAAGACGGAAATCATAATCTGCGAGGTTAACATAATAGATTACCTTACAAATAAACTGGAAGTGATCGCAATCGACGATAAAAATTATAGAACTGATAAAAATATCAGTTCTATAATGGAAAGAAAAAACTTAAAAGGGATAGACGGTTACTGGAAGCAGTGTGAAATACTCATTGGCGTCAAAGACTTAATTAAACTAGATGGAGTGCAAGAACTGAAATCAGGATTCCTGTTACTCAGGACAAAACTGGGACCAATGCTAGCCGGAAATGGTTATATAAATAGTATTTGCAAAGCAAGCGCTGAATCAGTAAACTCGAAAAGTGTAGCGAAACAAGACGGAGATACCAAGTTTGCTGGCCTTGGAAAGACTCAAAGGATAAACTAAAAAGCCATTATGGACTATGCTTCGGACACCTTAAAACCTTGATCGGGAGACTTCAAAACAATGAAAACATACTTCGACGGTACAACGAAACGATTCGAGATCAACTGGGGTCAGGCATAATTGGGGAAGTTCACCATGATATGGATCAAGAGGGTGTAATTCATTATCTACCTCATCATGAGGTAATACCCCCCCATAAAACCTATAACGAAACTCAGAATAGTCCTGATGCTTCGGCGCATCTCAAGGAAATAAAAAGTTTAAACGAAGTCCTATATCGTGGACCTATCATGCTTCCAGATTTAGTAGGAATACTATTGCAGTTTCGAATGATGAAAAGTGTAATCATAGCCGACGTTGAAAAGGTGTTTTTACAATTGGAACTGCATCAGTCCGACAGGAACTGTACCAGATTCCTCTGGATAAATAATATCAAATTTGCGGCTACCGAGGAAAACCTGAAATGCTATCGTTTTAGAAGAGTTCCTTTTGGAGAAGTATCATCACTGTTTTTGTTAGCAGCAACACTCAATCATTATCTAGAAACGATCGGAAGCCAGACAGCACTAGAGATCAGGAGAAATTTATATGTAGATAACGTCATGTTGTCAGCAAACGGAACAAGGGAAACCATAAATAAATATCACGAAGTGAAGGATATCTTTAAGAAGGCGGCGGTGAATATTCGCGAATTTCTTCCTAATGACCAAAACTTCAATAAGGCAATGCCAAAATAAGACAGAATCGAAGGAGGCGCAACAAAAATTCTTGGGATCACTGGATAAACGATAAAAATACAATAAGAGTAACGCTGAAACCATGGATCGAACATGAATTCACCAAACAAAGTATCTTGCAATATGATCCTTTGGGATTTTTAGTCCCCATAATGATTCAGTTCAAACTATTCCTCCAAAATTTATGGAAAAGAAATAATTCTTGTGATCAAATCGTCGATGAAGATGATAAAGAAGCATGGCGATCTCTTACAAAGGAATGGCTCGCAGACATTATCGAGATACCGAGGTTAGCTACAAAAAAGCTCTCAGATCAACAACTCCATGTCTTCACGGACGCATCAAGTGTTGCGTATTCAGCAGTTGTATACATTTTAAACAAACATGTCGACGAAAGAAATAGCGCAATATTTTTCGCCAAATCAAGACTCGCTCCAATTAAAGGTATGATCATACCACGGCTGAAGCTGCTAGCAATACTTACTGGTGTACGAGCCGCCAACAAACAACTTTGTTATAAAGTAATTGAGTATGGAAAAAATCGCAGTGGTGTCATGGTCGAATTCGAAATGTGCATTACACTGGATACAAAATCGATCGAAATTACTACCCAAATTCATACAAAACCGAGTAAAAGAAATATGAAAGGTAAATTTTTCATTTCGATATGTACCAAGGCGACTAAAAGACTTTCTCCCGTAAAACTT